TGCACCAAGCCACAAAAGTCTTACCCACTGGCCGTTGAGTTGATTCCAGCTCATATCAGCCCTGCAGACAGAGTAGAACTGTTCCCTGGCGTTTCCAAGGATGTAAAACTTTATGGGAGCAGACAGCTTCATCTGTCGCCTAAGGCGCAGTTGGTGAGTTGGAACCACACTGGCCTGTGGTCAGCAGCCCAGCATGTAACCCACAATGTCAACCAAACAAACAAGCCAAATCCACTGCTATCAAGTCATTTCTGACTCATACTACAGGGCTCCATTATTTTTATGCACAGCCATCATTTTTTTAATAATACTTTAAGGTAGAATTTATGTACAGTACCCCCATTTAAAATATATAGGTGAACATTTTAGAGTTCCAGAATTGTGTAGCCATTACCACAGTCTAATATTAGAACATTTTTGATATTTCATATAAATAAGATCATATAAGATTTACTCTTTTGTGATTGCTTTTTTGTACTTCAAAAACTCTTTATGGTTCATCCATTTTGTATCCTATGCTAGCACTTTATAACTTTGTTGTGGTCCAAGGATACGTCAGTACATGAATATACCTCCTCTTATCCATTCTTCAGTGAATGGACAAGCTGCTTCTACTTTTTGACTATTAGGAGTACCACTGCTAAGAACATTTGTAGGCATGTTTTCATTTCTCTTGGGTGTGATGTGCCCAGGAGTAAAATTGCTGAGTCATAAAATAACTCTATTTTTAACCTTTCAAGAAACTGCCAAATTAACTTTCAAAGTGGCGTCCCCACTTTACATTCCCACCAGAATATATATGACAATTCTGTTTCTCCACATCCCTACATGCACTTGTTATTTTTTGTTTTTTACTTATACCCATCCCATTGGGTATGAAGTGCTATCTCGTTTTGATTGTGATTTGCATGTCCTTGATGGCTTATGATGGCCAGCATTCTCTGCGTGCTTATCGGCCATGTGTGTCCTTTGAGAACTGCCTGGTCAGACTCTTTGCCCATTCTTTAATTGGGTTATTTGTCTTTTTACTATGAAATTCGTTGTAAGAATTCTTCATTGATTTTCACAGGACAAAAGTTCTTTGTTTTGATGAAGTTCAATTTTTATTAGTTTTTGCTTTTTTCCCCACTTCGTGGTTTGTGCTAGTCGTTTCCTACCTAAGGAAATCTTTTCTAGCTAACCCAAAGTGCCCAAATTTTCAGTTGTATTTTCTGCTAGGAATTGTAGTTTTAATTCTTATATATAAGTCTGTGAACCTGTTCAGTGACACTTTTGAACATGGTATGCGGTGCAGGTTGAGATGATGAGCTTCTTTGTGTACAGATGCCCAGTTGTCCCAGTAGCCAGAGCTTGCTTACAGTCTTAATCATTACACTGTCCTGCCTCCCATTCTTGAGTGTGTGTGATTGTGTACAAGTCCTTTCAGTTTTCCGCATCTCCTGCTAAACACCAGGTTCTCGGAAGGATTAGGGAGAATGTATTTCTGCACCCTGTCTGGCACATAGTGGACACTCAGTCAGAGATGGCTGTTACTGTTAATCTTGGTAAAATTACTGTTTTTCTAATCTCTCATTCTGTTAACATTTATGGAGAGACCTGTCACATGTGCTGTGGATATATAAAAGTAAAACTTCTATTGTGATGGTGACTTCATATAATTAATATACAAGTCACAAGGAGTGGTCTTAGCATACCACTTTATTTTAAATCTAACAATAGTTCATCTGAAAATTAAGGATGCATGTCGGTGCTGCTGTGAAAGCTTGTTATTTAGATACCCTAATGTCTTCAGTGTTTCTTGCATGTAATTTGTTAGTTTAAAAATCTGATTCTTCAAATGTTTTAGAAGGCAAATTGGTTTACCTTGGAAGCATAGAAAGAATCATAAAGGTAAACATTAGAAGACTATCCAGAATCATTCACGAAGGGAATGCCCTGAACCAGGTACACATATATACTCCTAGGAGATAAGGCAGCCAATTGTCACTGCAGAGGGAATGACACCTGAGATGGCTTGCCATGCTTCCCTTACTAAGAATCCTTTGTGCACAAGCAAATTTTAGATTAAGATAGTTTCCCACGTAATAGGCCCAGAGTGGACTAGTGACCCACCAGGTGTTTCTAACACACTTCATGGTTCTAAGTTCTTAAAGTCTTTTAAGGATTAGTCCTTAAAATGTCATTCTTTGTACATTGTGGCTATAAGGGCTAATGAAAATGACATTTGTAGGTATTTTGGGTTAGCACTGGGACTTAGTTCCTGCTTTCCTTTACTAAGCAACCCTGGTGACATGGTGGTTACACATGGGGCTGTGATCCTCAAAGTCTAGTTTGAAACAACCAGGTTCTCGGGGGAAGACGCGACTTCCTTACTAGCTGTGAAGCCTAGGTAAGTAACTTAATGTCTCTGATCCTCGGTTTCCCTGTTCTCTCTTTGCAGCATTGTTGTTAGCTTCAAAGCAGAGCGCTTTCACTAAATGCCTGGCCCTGCACGTTATATTTCTTGTCATCCATCTGCAGTATAAACTTTAAACAATTTTATTTATGTAAAATATTTATTTTTAGAATCGTCTAAAAGAAATTGAACAAAATCTCAATAAAATAATGAGACTTGACAATGAAATTAAAGCCTTGGATAGCAGAAAGAAGCAAATGGAGAAAGATAATAGTGAACTGGAACAGAAAATGGAAAAGGTCTGTGGTAGAATACTGTTCTTCAAAAATGTCAAGTGTTACTCTAATGAATTAGATTTGCTTATCTACATTTTGAAAAAGTATATATAAATCTTAATGATTATGTTCCTTCTACGAAGGTATTAAAATTGAGAATATTGAATAAACTTCCATTCTTATTTTCTATCTCCCAAGTGATCCTACATCTAGACATTATGCTTTTCTTTTATTTTTTTAATTTGGGCAGGTTTTTCAAGGAACTGATGACCAGCTAAATGACTTGTATCACAATCACCAGAGGACAGTAAGAGAAAAAGAAAGGAGATTGGTAGACTGTCAGCGCGAACTGGAAAAATTAAATAAAGAATCAAGGCTGCTCAATCAAGAAAGATCAGAACTACTTGTTGAACAGGGTGGGACAGAATATCTACACATCTTTTTCCCTACTGTAAAATCAGGCTTTTTCTTAATGAATAATAACTATCCAGGAAAGAATACTAAGTGAAAAGGGTTAAATACAGGGTGATTCTATTTAAATAATATTCTGAAATGACAGAATTTTAGAAAAAGAGGGCAAATTGATAATTGGCAGGGGAACTGGGAGTGAAGGGAGAGAGGCGTAGTTATGGTTATAAAAGTTAGAGATTCAAATGGTACTGGAACTGTTCCACATCTTGGCTGCCATGTGAATAGATGAACCTGGACAGGTGATAAAATCAAATGCACATAATACACAGGGATACAAACGAAACTTGGGAAATGGAATAAGATTGGTGGACTGTACTGCCAGTAGCCCAGGTGTGGTATCCTACAGCTGTCACTATTGAGGAAACTGGGTAAAGTGTAGACAGGATCTTTGTATTATTACTTAAAACTGCCTGTGAATTTGTGATTATTTCCCTTTTTAACAATTGGCTAAAAGATAAAGAATTATTATGGTCCTGATTTTTAAAGGTCGTCTACAGCTACAAGCAGATCGCCATCAAGAACAGATCCGAGCTAGAGATTCACTAATCCAGTCCTTGGCAACACAGCTAGAAATGGAAGGCTTTGAGCGGGGACCATTTAATGAGAGACAGATTAAAAATTTTCACAAACTTGTGAAGGAAAGACAAGAAAAGGAAGAAGAAACTGTCAACAAATTGATAGTAAGTATTTCTGAATACAGTATTGGTTGTCGTCATTTGTTACTGTCAGATTCTGTAGTTGAGTATGCTCAGATAGAACATATAGTGGCTTACTTTAAGATTAAAATCTCTGAGTAGTAGGGGGGGAATATTTATTGAAGGAATTTTTTTTTAAGTTTAAGTACAAAAATAGGAAGAAGACAGAGATCTATACATTTTCATTTGGTTTTAAAGTAAACTTCATTTTTAATATTAATTGCAAAGGAAATATTTGCTCAAAGTTATTTTTTTTCTCTAGATGGTAATTGTTATTTTTTTTGTTTTTTTACTTATCTGTATTTTCCTCAGGGGTCCTGTATTACTTTCACAATGAAGAAAAGTTTTCATAATGAATAATTTAATATAAAAAGTATAAATTGTCTCAACTTTGCTTGCATGTCTTTAGAATGACTTTACAGAAAAAGAGGCTCTGAAACAAAAGCAGATAGATGGGATAAGGGATAAGAAAACTGGCCTGGGAAGAATAATGGAGCTCAAATCAGAAATCCTAAGTAAGAAGCAAAATGAGTTGAAAAATGTGAAATATGAGCTACAGCAGTTGGAAGGATCTTCAGACAGGATTCTTGAATTGGACCAGGAGCTCAAAAAAGCTGTAAGATATTATCTGTGTAATCTAATCATTTTAAGACATAAGGCATTTAGAATGTTGCATTCTGAAGTATTTATCTATTGCTAATCATAATGTTATGGCATTTTAATTAAAATGTCGATCTTGCTTATCAGTCTCGTGTTAAATGAAGTCATCTGAATATCTTGGTCATCAAATTCTTTGGGTTTTTTTAAGCTAGTGAGTTAAACATTAGGATCCCTTAGGGAACTCTTTAAAGTTACTTATGCTGGGCTATCAACATAATCTGTTAAAGCAGTCTCCTTTGAGATAACAAATCTTGGAGATTTTATTTGATTATTGCTATGCTATTACATTTTCTGTAGTAGAAACTTTCTTAGTCCATTTCTTCATTGTAAGAATTTTCAAATTTTCCCTTCTTTGTTTTTAATCTGTCCCCTCCACATCTCTACTACCAAGGTAGTCAACCTGAAAAATAGGCAAATCCCTTCTCACATTCCATCTTGATCATTTAGATTTTACTTAGTGCATATATAGCACATGGTGATTTTTCTAACTTGTAAAAAACAATGTTTTGACTTCTGAGAAGGAGGTTATTTGGATACACTTTACCTTTGTCTTCGTTATTACATAAAATAAGTTAACCTGTGAATTTATTTGGTTATTTAGGAACGTGAGCTAAGCAAGGCTGAGAAAAACAGCAATGTAGAAACTCTAAAAACAGAAGTGATAAGCCTTCAAAACGAGAAAGCAGACCTAGACAGGACTCTGCGGAAACTGGACCAGGAGATGGAGCAGTTAAACCATCATACCACTACACGCACCCAGATGGAGATGCTGACCAGAGACAAAGTATGACTCCTTTTTTTTACTTTGTGCTTTTAGAGTTTTATTTTCTAAGCTTAGTATTTTACTCAGTCCATAATTTATTCTTCTTCTTAATGTGTTGTGGAAATATCAGACTTTATTTTAAAATATCTTCATTACCTACAGGCTGACAAAGATGAACAAATCAGAAAAATAAAATCAAGGCACGGTGATGAATTAACTTCATTGCTGGGTTATTTTCCCAACAAAAAGCAGCTTGAAGACTGGCTTCATAGTAAATCTAAAGAAATTAATCAGACCAGAGACAGACTTGCCAAATTAAAGTAAGTAGCTGCAACCCTGGGAGATGTAAGTGTTGCTCTTGTTGGCGGGGGCTGTGGGGCCGCTTCCCACTCAACACAACCCTAGTACAACAGGGCGAGGCACCGCCCAGGCCTCTGCCCTCCTCACCGCTGTTGTTCCGCCTGAGTCTCTTGTTGCAGCTGCTTGTGCATCCGTCCTGTTGAGGGTCTTCTTTTTCACTGCCCGTCTGCTTTTCCAAGCATGAGCTCCTCTTCCAGGCACTGCGCCTTCCTGATAACAAGTCCGAAGTATGTAAGAGGAAGTCTCGACTTCCTCGCTTCCAAGGGGCATTCTGCCTGTGCTTCCAAGTCAGGTTTGCTTGTTCTTCTGGCAGGCCACGGGATAGCCACTGTTCTTCATCAGGACCCTATGTCACAGACATGGATTCTTGTCTTCCTGAGTAGTCGTCCAGCTTTCACATGCATACGAGGCAGTTGAAAATGCTGTGACTTGCTTCAGGCACACCGCAGTCTTCAGGATGACAACTTTGCTTTATTAACACTGTGAAGGGTTTTTTGGTGGTAGATTTGCCCAGTGCAATACAGCATTTGATTTCTTGACTGCTGCTTCCGTGGGCATTAATGATGGAAATAAATCAAATTAAATCCTTGACAGCCTTCAGTCTCTTTGATCTCATTTATCATATATCAGAATACCTATTATTGGTCCAGTTGTGAGAATATTTGTTTTCTTTTTATTGAGGTGTAATCCAGACTAGCGACCTTTGATCATTAACCTTAAGTGCTGAACTCTTCACTTTCATCAAAGCTGAGTTTTGTGCATCTCATAGGTTACTAATGAACCTTCATCCGGTCTTGATGCTGTGGGGTTTCTTCTCTATATACCCCAGCTTCTTGGATCGTTCAGCATGTACATTGAATAAGTATGGTGAATGTATACAACTGTGCGATATAACTTTACTAATTTTAAACCTTGTGGTATCTCATTGTTATGTTTGGAAAATTGCCTCTCGGTTTATGTACAGGTTCTGCATGAGCACAATTAAATGTTTGGAAATCCTCATCCTTTGCATTGTTATCCATAATTTGTTATGATCCACAAAGTGAATATCTTTGTGTAATCAGTATAACACAGGTAAATATTTTTCTGGATATTCAATAGAAATCTCTCATTTTATGCTTTTGTTTTCAGTTGTTTTAAAACCCCTTATCATGAAATGATATTTTTTATTAATTGACTTTCAATCTGCTATAATTTACAAATTAAATAAAATGGTAATCGGTGATTTAGCCTGCTTGTCCCTTGGAAGTTTACAGATCCAAGTAAGAGGATTAAAATTTTCTTTTTACATCTGTGAGTAACCCTTTATTTAAAGATTATCCATGTTCTCTAATGCAAGAAAAGAGTTACAGTCTCAGAAACCCCCAAAGGCAGTTCCACCTTATTCTACAGGGTTACCATGAGTCAGAATCGACTCTGTTAGGGAGTTTGGTTGGACAAAGAGGAGCAGCACAAAGGAAACTAGGACCTGCTCACAGGGTCAGGATTTCAGCCAGAGAGGAGTGGTGCCTGGGGCACCTTGGCAAGATAGTCCTTCAAGGATGGGATTGAGAATGTGTGGTGCTGCTAGGAGGTTGAATAAGTTGGGAGACTGTCGGTATCTAGGTCGTTGGTGACCTTGATGACAGCAATGCTCAGCAGTGGCTATGATAGTGAAAGTATACTCTACACTCATTATTTTCTTTAACATTTTTGCTACAACTCGGGAAGATATCATGATGAACTGTGTGTACATAAAATTTATTTGAAACAAGTTTCTCAAAATAGTGCCTATATAGTCTAATACAGTGGGTCCTATTGTGTTTCATTTTGTAAAAGTATGCTGAGTACAGCACATTAAATTAATTATGTGACTTGTGAAATTCATCATAAACCTAGAAATTTGAAAACTAATGTATATGGTAATTGTGGTTGGCTAGGATGAGGCTTAAAAGTTGGAATGGAGAGAAATTGCACTAGTGAGCAAAGTCATTGAAGAATGAGAAGGAACAAGTGATCAGGAGGTAAGTAAATGACAACAGCAAGGAGGGGCCAAAAGGCAAGTGTGGTTCTAGGAGGGTAGGGAAGGAGACCAAAGGGAACTGGGAGAATGTTCTCTCTTCTCTCCAATAGACCAGCAAGCATCTGCTCTTTGCTAAGTTTCTCAACCTGAGATCTATCATCACGAACCTCTAGGCACCAGGCAGAGTTTGCCTGTGCACTGTTCTCTAGGGACAGACTCATCACCAGGCTAGACTTAAACTGGTGAGTCCATGTCCTAGGGGAGACTTAAGACAGAAGTGGACTATTGCCATGACTTCTAAAGAAAGTACGGAGCAAACCTTTGTAATGTATGTGGGCAGAATTTGTTTTATATTTACATATTCAAATTTTCAAACTCATTTCTCTTATTTCAAAATTTTAATATATTCTTGTTTATTTTAGCAAAGAACTGGCTTCAGCTGAACAAAATAAAAATCATATAAATAATGAGCTAAGGAAAAAGGATGAACAATTAACCACTTTTGAAGATAAGCTGTTTGATGTTTGTGGTAGCCAGGATTTTGAAAGTGATTTAGACAGGCTTAAAGAGGATATTGAAAAATCATCAAAACAGCGAGGTAAATTACCTACTTTGACATGTTTGAGTTTTCATTCACAGGTAACTATGAAGGATGAACATTTTAAAACCTAGTTCTAGAGTCAAATGGCTTGAGTTTCGCTTCTGGTTCCAGAACTTAACTTGGTTCGTGACTTTAAGCAAATTATTGAAACCTCGCTATTCTTCAAATTCATCTTGTGTAAAATGAAGGTGTTACTCAAGGCAATAGGGCAGCCCCGGATAGTGCAGGCGCTTGGTGTACTCTGCTGCTAATTGAAAGGTGGAAGGTCCCTGTTCAAATAGACATTTTGGAAGAAAGACCTGGCAGTTTACTCCAGAATTAGCTGTAGAGAACTCCATGGCGCACGGTTCTAGACTGACACATTCAGGTCATCTCCATGAGTGGAATCTACTTGATGGTAGCTGGTTTGGTTTTCAAGGCAAACCAAAACAAACCAAGCTTGCTGTAATCAACTCAGTGCCGACTCAAGACAAGGTAGAGAACTGCCCCCATGAGTTTCTGAGACTAACTCTTTATGGGAATAGAAAGCCCTGAGTTTCTCCCACTGGAGTGGCTGCTGGTTTAGAACTGCTGTCCTTACGTGTGCAGCCCAGTGTGTAACCACTACTCTACCAGGGCTCCTTTCAAGGCAGTAGGAAGGAATAAATAAGATTATGAGTATAAAACCCTTATGAGTATAAAAGTGCCTGACCCATGGTAAGCTCTCAGATGATGATTTTGCTTACACTTTTATGTGTTCAAAAATAACTCATACAAATTTGAGCATATTATACTTTCAGAAGAATTAACTTTTGAGTATCAGAAAAATTTGTGTCTGTAAAGCAAGAAGAATGATCATGTAGTTACAGTAAATGATGTAACCAAATTGGATTCTGTTCTCACTGAAGGTATATTTCTCTCCTTAAAATAGCCATGTTAGCTGGAGCCACGGCAGTTTACTCCCAGTTCATTACTCAGCTAGCAGATGAAAACCAGTCCTGTTGCCCTGTCTGTCAGAGAGTTTTTCAGACAGAGGCGGAATTACAAGAGGTCATCAGTGATTTGCAATCTAAGCTTCGACTTGCTCCTGATAAGCTTAAATCAACAGAATTAGACCTGAAGAAAAAAGAGAAGCGGCGGGATGAGATGCTGGGACTTGTGCCTACCAGGTGAGGAGAAGGCTTCATTTGGAGAAAGGGGTCTACTTTGGCACACCTTGTTTTGGTAAAGTGTTGTGACCCAGACCACTAGCCTTCTGCTGGTTGGTGTCACTGTCATTTTTAAGATCTTATACGTTGTTTGCTCCCACCTTATTTCAGAGATTATCTCTGCAGCCAATAGAATGTAACAGAATTGATGGCATGTCTTTTCCAAACTTAGGTTATGTAAGGCACTATAGCTTTATGCTCACACAAGTTCCTTTCCCTTTCCCTACTTCCTACCCTCCATCCCCTTCATAAAGTTCCCCTTCCCACAAATTAATTAAGAACAGAAACTTCTTCATTTTTTTCTTTCCATTTTTTAATGTGGACGAGCAATAGCACAGATGTGCAGTCAGACTGATTTCTAATCTAGCTCTGCTGGGTGACCCTGGGCATGTCACTTAAATCACTTTGGTCTAGTTTTTCTCAATGAAAATGTTATTAGAGCTAGCATTCTGAGCACCCTCTTTGCAGGCTATAGATGACAGTGAAAGCCCAAAACTCATTTGTAGAGTCCTGGCATAGAATAAGCCTTCATGGAAATCCTTCTGACCATTCACTAGGAAAAGGAGCTTGATAGTATAATGGGTTTTGCATTGGGCTGCTCACTGTAGGGTCAGTGGTTCAAATCCACCAACCAGTCCACAAGGAAAAAGGTTTTCTCCTTCCATAGATTTGCAGTCTTGGAAACCCACAGGTGGAGTTACGCCCTGTTCTGTAGGGTCTCTGTGAGTCAGAATTGACTCAATGACAGTGAATTGATTAACTAGGGATGTGAACAGTCTTGCCTTCAGGCAGAGTGTGTTAGAAAGTGGATTACCTCTACCCTTCCTGCCCAGCCCAGGAAGTGGTGGTCTCGCCTAGGGGCTTGCCTGGGTGTGTTCTTGCTGAGGATTGCTATACTGGGATTGCGCAGTCATGAGCCGTGCCTTGGCTAAAGGGCCCTGGACCAGTCCTGTAAGCTCTTCTTTATAACACAATGTATGTATCCCAAATGGAGTTCAGTTCCCACTTCTGTAGTCCCACCTACACCTGTGATGTATTCATCTGCTACCAATTCTGCTTTTGTGACCTTTTTGTTTGTCCTCTGATGCCTTCTTAAAGTTCTATATCTCAGCAAACCTTTGAATGCCAGTATGACCTTGTGCTGATGGTCTCCCTGATCTGGATTGTGTGTCTTTGCCTTGCTTTTATCCTGTTTTAGTCTTAATACATATTCTCCTTTGATTACATTTGAGATTTGGGGTTTCTTTTGTATCTTAAAACAAAAGTGAGGGAATTGTCTTAGATGAACAGTGGATGTCCTTCCAACTATGGTTGTATTATAGGTCACTACTGCCATACATACCATTTGTCTTTTGAAGTAAAGTTTACCCATGATGCCAACATGCTCTTGAACTATTATGGATACATATCCATTCAACCTATATTTATATAACAGGCACTGTGTTAGAGTGTTTCAATAAAAAGGTGAGAAATAATACATCAGCTCATCACAAGGCAGGCCACAGGGTAAGAAAATAAGAGGGGGCTGAGGGATGGTGCGAAAGAAAATGTATGTGGGGGTAGCACCTGACCTCCAGGAAAACTCAACTCTACATTAGCATTACCCGAGGCAGATTTTTGTGACACCGAGTTTAGATATGCCCCACCTCACTGGGACACTAACTCACAGCTCTCTCTACTTTTCATCTGGGTATATAATCCATTGCACTGGCCACACAGAACGCTCAGTGCTCATGATTATGGAATTTATGAAGGAAGGTAACAGGTTACAATTATTCAGACAGACAGCATCTTCTTAGCCTTGCTTGCTTGTGCAGTTGACCTCTACCTTGCTTGTGCAATCTTAGAAAGTTCTCTTAAGGCTGGCAGTGCAATAAATGGCCAAAGGCAAGCCATACCTGTCCAAAGGTACTCAGCTCTAGCACTGTGGGTCCTCAGAGCTAGCTCCCCCAATAAGTGCCTGGAGACACCACACTCCACAAGCCAGCCCCCTGCCTGACAGCACTGAGCTTCCTTGCTCTGTGGGCTGGGAAGTCCTCCGCTCTGACTCATACTCTGATTCTTGGTTCTGCTGTTGCCATTCCTCTGCCCCTCCTCTGGAGTCAGAGTTGTCTTCTAGATCCAGGAGGTGCAGTGTGCAGGGAATTTGGGGTCTAAAAGATGCACTTCATTTCTGGTTCTTCTCTCGTTGGCACTAAGATTCCCTCCCTCCTGCTTGTGTGATGGCTCATTTTAACTCCAACAGAATGGCATTATCATTACCCCCCGTCCTGGACCATTCACAGCTAAATCCTACCAGTGTCATCTCCCACCTTTTCTTACCCAAACTCACAGGAAGAGGACAGTTGGTAGATGTAACAAAGGCTATGTGCTCAAAACTCAAACTCCCTGCTACCGAGTCAATCCCAACTCGTAGTGGAATCGGACAGGAGAGAGCTACCCTGTGGGTTTCTGAGACTCTTAACTCTATAGGAGTAGGAAACCTCCTCTTTCTCCTGAGGAGCTGGTGGTGGTTTCAAACTTCTGACCTTTCTGTTAACAGCCCATTGATCAACCACTACATCACCTATTAGAGACATTAAATCATTCACTGACCCTCAGATGGTATAGAGAGTCGCTGTGACTATGTCATTGAAGCAGAAACTTAGGAGGGGAGGGAGCCAGCCCTGGACTCACCCTGGAGAAAAAAAGAGCATTCCAGGTCCTACAAAGTCCCTGAGGTGTGTTTGGCCTGAAGGGCAAAGGAGAAAGTGTGAAGAATAGAAGATGAATGAGCCAGAGAGGTAGTAAGGAGCCAGGGAAAATAATCTTTTCATTTAAAGTCTCAAGTTTACTAGCATTGTGCATGAAGCCTCAGCTGGAAATAAGCGCATGTTGTATCCCTAAGCCTTGACTGTGAATCCAAGCAAAATGAAATCATTGACAGCTTGTTTTTCCTCATTTATTCTGATGTTGACTATTGATCTAGTTGTGAGGATATTGGTGTTCTGCATGAGGTGTAATCTGTTCGGAAGGCTGCTTTTTACTTATTTTCCCCTGAGGCTTGTTCACTCTCTAACAGCTCCTTAGCCTTTGTCTTCCATGATCTTGACACTTATGATGAGTATGGGCAATTAACTTGTAAGATATATCTTAGATTGACACACAGAATCCGACAACTTAATGTAAGCAAGATCTGAATAGATGGTAAACTCTGTGGCAAAGGTTTGAGGAGGAAAAAAGATCATTTCAGTGCCTCAAAGTATCTCTCCTAAGATGTTTATTGGTTATAAAGAGAAAAACAGTAACTTTAGTGGAGAGAGCTGGCTGGCACCACCTCTACCAGATGGGTTAGGTTAATCTAAGAGGTCCTGACATGAGTGACCTACTGAGGCTGATTGAGCTGTGAAGAGTCTGTGGCACTCTTGCCCAGAATGCGCATCTTCAATCTAAGTGCTTGAGGAAACATCTAGTAAGCTTATTTTTGTGTATTCTCTGTTAAGACAAAGCATAGTGGATTTGAAGGAGAAGGAAATACCAGAACTGAGAAACAAACTGCAAAATGTCAACAGAGACATACAGCGCCTGAAGAATGAAGTAGAAGAGCAGGAAACACTCTTGGGCACAGTGATGCCGGAAGAGGAAAGGGCTCAAGTGTGCCTGACAGATGTGACAATTATGGAGAGGTTGCAGGCAAGTGGGTCATGTCTAAGAACTTGTTCCGTCCGCCATAACTCGAACGGGCGAAGTGAGCCTCAGGAACTGGTACAGAGTTTGATGAGAGATCCCCTTCCTGAGTTTCAGGGACTTTGGGGTAGCATTACTTAGGTTCCAGTCCTCGGCTTAAGTTGTTTTTCTTCATACATTAAAGGAATTAGAGGTAATTGGTTTGGTTTTCATATACAACCTGTTTCCTTTTATTTATATTATTTTTTTTCTTTTTCAAATCATTTTATTGGGGGCTCATACAACTCTTACCACAATCTATACACATACATCCATTGTGTCAAGCACATTTGTCCATTTGTTGCCATCATCATTCTCAAAACATTTTCTTTCTACTTGAGCCCTTGGTATCAGCTCCTCATTTTTTCCCCCGCCCTCACGAACCCGTAATAATTTATAAATTATTATTATTTTGTCATGCCTTACACTGTCCAACGTCATCCTTCCATTATTTTATTTTTATCCTGTTACATTTTCCCAAATTTATATCTGGAAACTTATAATTTCAGGTTAAAAAATAATTCATAATAGAATTCTTTATAAAAAACTCAATGATGATAGTGTCCATAAAAATAACTGTTATTTTCTTAAGATGGAGCTTAAAGATGTTGAGAGAAGGATTGCACAACAAGCAGCGAAGCTACAAGGAATAGACTTAGACCGAACTGTTCAACAAGTAAACCAGGAAAAGCAAGAAAGGCAACACAAAGTAGACACAGGTAACGGAGTCCATTGCATCACATGCGCATCAAGACCTCAGTGTTTCTAGTGTATACTTCTTTCTGGATATTCTACGCCTATGACATGAGCAAGGAACTTTTTTGCTTCCTTTTCGTCACAATATCGTCACTCTTTTCTCAGAAGCATTACTTGTCTTCATTGATGGGAGAGTATCAGGTGGGCAGTACACTTCCTCAGCCATGCCTACTCCGAGTGCCCATACCCGGGAGGGACAGAGAGGGGCAGAATGGGATAGCAGGCAGGTTGGGAGGCTCAGCGGTTTTTATTGCACTTCAGTTGCAGTGAGTGGAACCCACAAAAATGTGGCCTTTGTGGAGTCTCTAGACCTATGAAACCTGGAAGGATGCTACGCACGGCATATTCTGTATCCTTACCTTATTTTTGTCAATGTGTTTTTATGCAGTTTCCAGTAAAATTGAATTGAATCGTAAACTTATTCAAGACCAGCAGGAACAGATTCAACACCTCAAAAGTACAGCAAATGAACTGAAATCAGAGAAACTTCAGATATCCACCAACCTACAGCGTCGCCAGCAGCTGGAGGAGCAGACTGTGGAATTATCCACTGAAGTTCAGTCCTTACACAGAGAGATAAAAGTAAGATCATTCATACGTGTTTGTTGTTTAAATTGGTTCAGATATATGAAGTACTCTTTATTGATTTAATGACTAGCACTATGGTCATTTTGTGGAGTGAGAATTGGGTAATGACATTTTATGTGGCTCCTGATGACAGAACCTGTAGGAATGGGTGAAGATTTCTGGTAGAAGGGCTTTGACCATGATGTGGAAGAAATGATTACCTGAGTAAGTGGTGAATGTTTATTGTTTGGGGTGGTCAGGTTAATGTTCAGGTTAGCAGCACAATAGGATTCTTGTTTATATTGGAATTTTTATATGTGGTAGACCTTGCCTCTCAATCATAGAACTTAAAAAAAATTTTTTTTAATAAATCGTTTTATTGGGGGCTCTTACAGTGTTTATAACAATCCATACATCAATTGTATCAAGCACATTTATACAAATGTTGCCATCATTTTGAAAACATTCTCTTTCTACTTGAACCCTTGTTTTCAGCTCTTCTTTTTATCCCTCCCTCCCCCACACTCCTACCTTGGTGAACCCTTGATCAATTATTACTATTTTCATATCTTACTTCGTCTACTGTCTCCCTTCACCCATGTTTTTCCCTTCACCCTCCTCGGGGTGGGGTGGGGGGCCTATATGTCAGTCATTGCGATCAGTTTCCCTTCTCCCCTTACTTTTCCCCTACCCCCAGAGTATCACTACTCCCATTACTGTACCTAAGGGGTTTATCTGTCCTGGATTCCATGTGTTGAGAGCTCTTATCTGTACCAGTGTACATGTTCTAGTCTAGCCAGGATTGTAAGGTAGTACTGGGATCATGATAGGGGTGGGAAACATTAAAGAACTAGAGGAATATTGTGTGTTTCGTCAGTGCTGTACTACACCCTGGCTGACTTGTCCCTTCCTTGTGACCCTTCTGCGAGGGATGTCCAATTGTCTACAGATGGGCTTTGGGTCTCCACTCAGGCCCACCTTCTTCGCACTGATAGGATTGTTTGTTTTGGGTCTTCTGATGCCTGATACCTTATCTTGTCGACACCTCATGATCACACAGGCTAATGGCTGCTTCTTTAACTCCATGCCTTTAAGACCCCAGACGCTGTATCTTCTAATAGCTGGGTACCATGAGCTTTCTTCACCACATTCATTTATGCACCCATTTTGACTTCAGCGATCATGTCAGGAAGGTGAGCATCAGCGAATGCCAGAATATTAGAACAAAGTGTTCTTATGTTGAGGGAGTACTTGAGTAGAGGCCTGATGTCTGTCTGCTACCTTAATACTTAATGTATAAATATATGTACATAGATCTATATCCTTATCATTATATATAAATATACTTACAGATGTGAACACGCCAGCATCAATGTACCAGTACATGTTTGTTTAGATAGCCACATGGACTTCGCAGCCTGAACTAAAGACAAGTGTTTTCCCATCTGAAGGAGACCTGCACTGAATGTGCCCTTCTGGTCTTGATCCCGCAGAGCTGATGTGGGTCCCTACAAACTCATGAAAACTTCTTCGTGAAGCCTTGTGCTACTATAATGAGAAGCAGGTGTCCTAGATTAAGAATTGATACTCTGAGGCAGGGTAGGATGGTGGTTAAGCAAATAGACCTAGAACTGGACCTGGGTGTGAATCTTGGTTCTCTTCTTTACCGGCTTCCGTGACCCTGGGCAAGTCATTCTCTGCCTGCTTGATCATCTAAAATGTACTAGTGGCAACAATGGCATCTTCCTCATGAGGTTGTTGGAAGAAGAAGCATGAGAGTTGATTTTTAAAGCCTGGCACATTTTATTACAGCTGTAGAGTTGAATGCCTAAAATAAAATAATGGAATGATATAAAAGACTTTTAATTTTAGGATGCTAAAGAGCAAGTAAGCCCTTTGGAAACAACATTGGAAAAGTTTCAACAGGAAAAAGAAGAATTAATCCACAAAAAACACACAAACAGCAAAATTGCACAGGATAAAGTAAGATTTCATTTATATATTAGCTTATCAATCTATATTAAACTTATTAACTTATGTTCATAGCACTGTTAGATGCTTATTTCACATGAAATTAGATAGCATCTTAAAGTAGTGTTTAAGATTTGCAATATAATTTGGCATTTGAATAAGAATTAAAAGTGTTATGCTTTTTGGCTTAAAGTAGAAGAATTGAGATTATTTCATCTGATTCCATAGACTTGCCTAAGATCACAGACATTGCCTGTGGTATAAGCTGAAGCTCCAGACTCTTCTAACTCAGCGCCCCACTGTGCTGTCTTAGAAAGGCTTCCTTCATTTCTACCCTCGTTTCTACCTGAATGGAAGATTCATTTCTCTGGGGACAACCTTCTTAAGTGCCCTGGTCCCATTGTACCTTTAATAAATATTTTTTCACAGCTGAATGATATCAAAGAAAAGGTTAGAAATATCCATGGCTTTGTGAAAGACATTGAGAATTACATTCAAGATGGAAAAGAAGACTACAAAAAGGTAATTTAAAACTTAAAATTTTTTATTTGATTATATTTTTACTTACCATGCTGAAGGAATTTTCTCTTTTGTAGCAAAAAGAAATGGAGCTTAATAATGTAATAACTCAACTAAGTGAATGTGAGAAACACAAAGAACAGATAAGTAAAGAAATGGGAGACATGAGACAAGATATTGATACACAGAAGGTAAGTCTTTTCTGCTAGTTGTTACCCCCGTAACATTCTTTACTTTTTACTCTTATTTTTAGTAAGAAGGTCTATTGAATAGAAATGCACTAGTAGGGAAAACTACTTCCAATAGCATATGCTTTTCTTTATTTTTCTTTTTACTTTTCAGTATAAAACCTACTTGGTAAAAGCTAAAAGCCACAAAATTTAAAGACTTCCTCTGCTCCCTATCCCTAATCTTATTCCTAAATATCATTACTTTAAAACAGTGTTTTCCAAAAATGTGATATCACCCCCTGGGAGGTGGCTAGAATGGTCCAGAAGGGCTGCAAAAGCAGGTCGCCTACACTTTATCCTAGATCATGAACTATAGTACAAAATTGTTCATTGCCAGATGAGCCTCATCTGCTTTTTCTTCTTCTGAAAAGAGAGTTGTGGGCCAAATAAATTTGGTAACAAACATTAATCCATTCTTATTTGTACTTAACGAATTGTTTTCATTCACATAGATGGATACATGCATGTATTTAGATGGATCAGTAGATTCATTTTTCATTTAGAATTTACATTTTCAGATGAGATCTCGCCATTCCTCTTACGCTACATTTTGCCTTTTGTACTTAAATCAGTTTCATCTTTTCATATCAACTTACAGATCTACCACATTCTTTTTAATGATTATGAAATATTCCATTTTGTGTAAACTCCACATAGTTTGATTATTTTTTCACTTTTGCAAATTATGTGGCAGTTAGTATCCTAGCTGTCTGAGTCATTTCTCACACAAGCATATCTTTATGTAGGATAATTCATAAAAAGAAGAGGGGCAAATAATGCAATCCTAAAAGTTGTCTGTAAGGGAAATATTTATATTTTAAGTGATTTTTCAGTTGCCTCCTATGCCATTTTCCCCTTTTAAGGAAATGAGCTTCCACATACTGTTTAAATCACATTGAGAACCTGTCATCAACATGCCCTAGGTAAGCAAGCCTGTGGTTATGCCTTTACAAGGCACATTCTTTTTCCCTTCTGCTTTAAACAAAATTTACTATTTGAATACTTTAATCACTTGGTTTTAAGTGGTGGTTAAAAATGTCTCCGGAGATTAATTAGCTAGATTCTTTGGGGTCTGTGGCTGTGTGCAGTACCAGTAATTTCAAATATAAGCACATCATAAAGATCTTGTGGATTTGGTTCCAGACCCCTGCAATAAAGTGAATAGTGAAATTAATCAAATCCCTGTTAAACCTGCAATAGCTGAATTTTTTTTTTAATTCTGAATTATTGTGAGAATTGCAGAAATGTGACATGAAATGAGCATGTGCTGTTGAAAGGGGTGCTGAGAGACCTGCTTGGTGCAGAGTGGAGCTCTCCTTTTTTTGAGTGGAGTTTTCTTTTTGGAGCAGTGAAATGTTTTAGAATTATGTAGTGATGACGGGCAATATTTTCATTATCATTTACAGGAAGCATTTTTAAACACTCTCCAAGTAGAGATTCACAGATTGGCAAGGCTGAATGTTAACATTGAGCACATTAAGACATTAAGAGAAGTCCTTGGCTTCCCTCCCTACTCTCACTCCCAATTCTTTTCTCCCTGATGGCTGTCATTTCCCTCGGCAACCATATATTGCCACAGATCTGGCCTCAACTCCTTCATTTGCCCACATCCCTGAACTTAGCTACTGCAGGAAGGTCCCAGCTTCTTCTCTGGGAAGTTCTGTTCTTGAACTTAGGATGCATTTCTAGGGAGTGTTTGTATTCTGCACACAGGTGTTTGTTTCTGTAGGAAGATTTTTTTTTTTCCTCTCCTACATTCCAGATTCACTTTATGAATGAGAGCACTGGTGGTACTGTCAGGTAAACGTTGGAGTGCTAACAAACTTGGCACTTCAAACCCACCAGCCACTTGCTGGAAGAGAGAGGAAGCTGCCTGCTTCTGTAAAGATTTACAGCCTCAGAAATGTTGTGCAGGGTTGCTGGGAGTCAGAATTGACTCTATGGCAGTGGGTTTCCTAATGTTTAGCTCATGACATCTGTGATCACTATAATGTCCATGAAAACAATTGTGTTGTTGCCGTTGCTGCTAAGTGGTTTGATCTCTTTTTAAGGCTAAATGCCCTCACCTAATTTACAATAGAATATTGTTCGAAAGAAAAAAGAAAGAAAGGAAACTGCTTGGCAAGAGCAGTCATTTTAAAAATTTCAGTTCTACAGGATGGACAAGAAATCCTGCTGGCACATAGTGGGTTACTTGTTGAGCTGTAACCTCAAAATCGGCAGCTTGAAACCACCAGCCACTCTGCGTTGCCGAGAGAGATGAGGCTGCCTACTTCCATAGTAACTTACAAGCTCGGGAGCCCCAGGGAGCAGGTCCACTCGGTCCTAAGGAGGTCGCTATGAGTTGGGTTGTGGGTTTGATTTTTTGATATAGAATGACCAGTAAAATGTCAAGAAGTGTGTGTTAGTCTAGGTAGACTAAAGAAACAAATTCATACACACTCATGTGTATAGGAAAGCTTTATATAAAAGAGTAATTGTATATTAAGAAAACTTCTAGCCCAGTCCAGATCAAGTCCATAAGTCCAATATTAGCCAATATGTCCAATACTAGTCTATAAATTCTTCTTTAGACTCACACAGCCATGCAATAATGCCGAATGCAGGAAGATCAGAGGCCAGTGGGTGGAAAGTCTTGTAGATCCAGTGGTGGCGAAGGATCTCAGTGTTGGCTTGGGTCTTCACGTGGCTCCTCCAGCTCCAGGGCTCTGGCTCCATCAGTGTGTCTCCATGTGGCTGTCAACCGGAATGTCTCATGGAGTGAATGTATCTGGCCATCAATGATCTGTTTATCTCCCTGGTACCTCCAAATGAGGTCATCGAACTGTGAACTGATTGACAGGCTCCACCCCATCACAAGTTGACACCGATTATGTAACTACCACTAAGAACATAGATAATTTCAGGACTCTTCCTGCCTTATATGCTGATTTGTCATCTAGAAGGCAGAAATCATGTATGATACATACTTGCAGTATCTGAAAATCTTGGCACATGTTGGGAGATAAATGTAGGGGAAAACAAAGTAGTAGTGCTCTCGTGTTTTAGATCAAAAGGCAATTTTGTCTAGTTACAATTTTTAAAAACTTAATTTGAGTGTGTATGTTTTATATTGAGCATACTAGTAGTAGTATTTTTATTAGATATTTTACACTATAAGTAAATAAATACAAAAAGGTATATGTGCAGATCTTTAATTTTTAGAATCTCCATCAAACTGGAAACTCTTTTAACTCGGGGTCACAAGCAAGTTGAAAAGCTGGACTCTCTGAAGTTTCCCACTTGGCCAGATGGGATGGCCCTCCCTGATCCGATTGTCCAGTCCTGAACTTCATACTCACTTCCTCTCTCTCTGTTAAATGTAGCATGAGTCTAACTAGGCCAAATTAGCACCAGCTTTCAGCAGTTCTAAGGAGCCTGGTGAGGTTGGCAGGTCAGCATTGGACTCAGCAATTCAAACCCACCAGCTGCTCCTCAGGGGAACAATGAGGCTGGCTGCTCCTTAGAAACCATATCAGGGTCATTATGAATCAGAATGGACTCAGTGGCAGTAGGTTCGGTGTTATGTTTTGGGGTGGGTTTTTTTTTGGATCAGCTATTCTGGTGGTGCAGGGGTTAAGTCCTAAGCTACTAGCTGAATGGTTTGAATCCACCACCACTTTGTAGGAGGAGAATGTGGTCATCTGCTTCTGTAAAGATAGGTAGCCATGGAAGTCCCAGGAGCAGACGGTTGCCTCTCTCCTCTTTGGTTGGCATAAGTTGGAATGAAGCCACCGGCACTTGTTCTCAGCAGCTTGATTGCACAGAAGGTAGCTTGAGTTGGAGCAGACAGAGTGGCACCAGGTAGCTTACACTTGCGTTATGGACCCCACTTTAGGAACTTGATAGTTTTTGTTAACCAATTAAACGTTTACATTTAGATTCAAGAAAGATGGCTGCAGGATAACCTTACTTTAAGAAAAAGAAACGAGGAACTAAAAGAAGTTGAGGAGGAAAGAAGACAGCATCTGAAGGAAATGGGACAAATGCAAGTTTTGCAAATGAAAAAGTATGTTTTTAAAATTAGTTACTATTTAAATAAAGGTCGTTACTGAAATGTGAAGACTGATAGAATGTAAGCCTTGTATCCCTGATACTTACAAGAAGTGGGCTGAATACACACAGAAGTGAATTACTGAGTGATACAGAATTGACAGTCACACTGCAGTGGTCAAGACTACACTAGTTTTTGAGTATTAAACTTACTAAGTTCCCAGACTTCTGCTAGCCTACTTCACATGCTAGTGGTATAGAGGATCCAGAAGAGGTCTGTTGACCCTGCCTGAGTTAGAGCTTGTTCCGTTTATAATATTGCCCATGAAGCTATTGGTGGAACAATTTGTTGATGGAAATCCGGTCCAGTTTATCCTAGTTATAGTTATGGGCAGAACTGAGTATTTTTCTGTAAGATTGGCCAGATTCTTCCTTCATCTGGTTTTGTCAGTACTTATTGTAGTTGATAACTTTCAGATTCAACAGGAAAGTTTCCTGCCTGCTTTGTCTACCTGCTTGATGCTAAGGCATTAGACTGGTATAGAAGGTTGTGCTATCCAAATATTAATATATATTAGACCACCTTAGCTGATTAAATACAGGCCTCTCATTTATTTTATTCAGCCTTTCCTTGTAGATTTCTCATTTGCCTTCACTTTATCCAGACACCTGAGTCAAAGAACACTTGGGGTTTTGTAAAAGATTAAAAGAGTAAAAGGTTCAGCTATAAAACCTAGTAAATGCTTACCCCCATCTCATTGTAAGTACTTTTAGTGTAGCTACTTAAACTTCCTTCCACCTATCAAGGAAATCAGAGTAAAGCCTGAAGAGTTCATTGATGTCAACCTCTTTGATTTTATGCATTATATAGCAAAACCCTGGAAAAATCATGAGGAAAGGCCAGGGCTGTGAGCCTTGATAGCCTAGCTCCCGAACTCTGGCTCTTTCACACTGTAATGTTAGTAATATTAAAATTCTCTGTGACACATTGGAAAGGTAATAAACCTTTTAAATGGAACCTAACCCTTTATTATTTGCTTCTAAAGACCCAAACTAGATATCTTTACAATTCTTTCTGTAGTTGATATTATGAGTGTTTTTCATACCCATTAAGACTGGTAGTACAGGGGTAGGCTGAGCTGGGCCACTGTGGCGAACTCTACAGCTCAAAGCCATGCTGGAGAACAGCACCGGCTGCCACATGTGGGCGAGGATGCCCAGTGGCACCTAAAGATGGAGTGTGGCAATCGTGGTCACATTTTAGTGAAGTGGCTGATAGTGTGGTTCTTAAAGGGAAGGCCACGGCAGCACCTCTGTTCCAGAAGGGCCAGCTGTGCATGTGAGAAAGCACCATTGAGATGTTGGGCAGTACTGTCAAATGCCAACGGAAGTGAGAAGTTCAGGGTGCCAGTAGAATTTGAGTGCTGGAGTCTCCAGTTAGTTGACTTCCGGTCTCAGGTTGGGTTTGCTGCTGAGGGTGTGGAGTTGGGGACAGACATCAGTCAGTTTAGCCAGCAGGGGAAAGCCTGGGCTGTGATGAAAAGGCTCAGCAGCCAATGTGAATCTATAAGGTCACACAAGTTTGTGAAGCAAACGGTCCTTGCCCTGAAGAGCGGAGAATGTGCAGTGCCTCAAGCAACAGAACCTCTGAGACTGGTCCCTTTATCCTTGCCTCCTGCTAGCTATCCCAGCCTTAATGGCGTTGCATGGTGGGCTTTATCACGGCTTCCCAAGCCCCACAAGCCCGTGTTCGTGCTCTACACCAGTAGGCAGGTCAGACAATCATAACTCCCTCTACACACAAAAACATGCATGCACACACAAGAGGTTTCTGTTTAAAACTCTGTGCCTGATCTGTTTTGTAAAACAGGCAGGAGCACACTGCTTCTAAGGACCTTCCAGCTCTGGGGAGCAGCAGAGTACCCCAGAGGAACAAAGATTTAAGGGGCTGTTGACACAAGGTACTGATGTGTCCAACAGCCTGAGCTAAGATAGTCATTGGGCCAGGGATCCATTATTTAGTACCAATTCAGATTCCTAGGCTAAAAGTTGTGCCATGACTGCCCCACAAATTTTCTCCTAGATGGTATGTGGTTTCTGCTCACTTACTGAAATGGGGTACTCCCCTGCCCTCAGAGCCAACAGGGGAGTTCTCCTGCGGCTGACTCAGCTGTTGTGTTCCCCTTAGCACCTCCTGCTGGTTCTAGGGTGTCCTCTTAATAGCTACACTCAAGTACCCTGTTTCCCCGAAAATAAGACAGTGTCTTATATTAATTTTTGCTCCCAAAGATGCACTAGGTCTTATTTTCAAGGGACGTCTTATTTTTCCATGAAGAAGAATATGGTACACATTTATTGTTTATTGTTTTATTAAAAGAGACCTCGCACTTCCTGTCTGCTCCGG